TATGCACTCACCCATTCATCCACCCATCCATCTATGCACCCACCCATTCATCCATCCATCTATGCACCCACCCATTCATCCATCCATCCATCTATGCACTCATCCATTCATCCATCCATCTATCCATTCATCCATCTATCCATCCATCCATCCATCATCCATCCACCCATTCATGCACCCATCCATTACCCATCTATTCATCCATCTATGCATCCATCATCCATTCATCATCCATCCTTTCGTCCATCCATCATCCATCCATCATCCATCTATTGATCGATCCATCCATCCATCCATCCATCCATCCATCATCCATCTATTTATCCATCCATCCATCCATCCACCCACCCATCCACATCTTGAATACCAGAGGCACAGTAGACACCTGAGAGCACAACCATCCAGTCCTGACCTCACCCCAGCAGTGCTCCCTCCTGTACAGATCCAGCAAATACAGAGAAGCAGGGCCATCCTCCCAGCCACAGCTGGAACATAACCCCCTCCCTCACATACTGTTGCCTTGACCCCTGCAAGCAGAGTTGTCTCTTTGCCCGTCCCATACCACAGTGCCCTGCCAGAACTCCTATGACTGTGTTAGTAAGCTCTGTCTTGTGAGTACTGCAGCACATGACCCATCTGGTCGTGAGACGGCAGTCTTTCACACACAGGTGTCCTTGATTCACCCCTGGACTCCACAGCTCCAGGTCCAGGCTGTGCTTATATGGGGTGTGGTAAAGCCTGGAACAGTGTGGTGGGTGCTTTTCCTGCCGCTGTGAACAATCTGATCACAATCAGCTTATGGAGGGGGACTTGCTTTGGTTCATGGTTTGAGGATACACAGTCCACTGTGGAAGGGAAGGCGTACAGGCAAGAACACAGAGTGGCCAGCAGCACTGCAACCCCCAGTTAGGACGGAAAGATAAGGGAGCCGTGGTACAAGGGCTCCATTTCTGCTTTCTATACAGCTCGGTAGTCCAGGAGGAGAATGGTGCTCCCACATCCAATATCGGTCTTGCTGCTTCAGTGAAACCTCTCTGGAAACTACAGAACCCTGCAGAGCACCTGGAGGTGTGCTTCCATGGTGATTCTAAGCAGCCAAGGTGACTGTGAACCTCCCCCACACAATCCACCCAAGCAGTCTTTTTATTTAGTTAAACTGCAGCATATCGGGATGACACCCAGGATGAGGACACAGACCCACAGTGCCCTGCAGACTACGATTAAATCAGCATGATGGGTTTCTGACGTCACTATGAGGTCAGCCCATTTAGCAGGGACCCTGCAGCAGTAAAGGGCCGTGGGAGCTGCTTGAGTCTCGTCAACCCGGAAGCCGACTGATTCCATGTGGGCCTGGCTGGATAAGAGACGATGATGAACTCCGCCTTTTGTGCTAAGAATCAGTCCTCAGCGTGGGAAAAACAATCAGAAAGTTAACAGATGCTGGGGTGGACGAGGAAACTGGGAACCCAGATGAAGGTGAGGACGAGGCTGGTTCACTCTGGAATATGGAATATGGCAGGGGAGACATATGGGGAAACAGAAGCACTGAGGGAGTGCTGCTCAAACAGGGAAGACAGAGGGAGTCCAGTTAAACAGGAACAGCCAAGGCCTGACGGCACGCTCAGAAGAGATGGTTGGCACCAATGGTAGGAGGGAGGCCACTGTTGGAGGGCGCGGGGAGAGCCGAGGACAGGGCTTTGCTGGAGACCCACATGAGAACAGCATCCAGGGCCAGGCTTCCCTTCCTCTCCCTGGGTGAGCCAAGGCCAGAAGGCAGGAGGCAGTGACATAGGTGGATGGTGGGGGTGCAGGTGCCTGCACGACCAGGTCAGGCTAACCCGCATCCTATTCCTTTGACCCTGATAAGATGGCCCCAGGGCACCCTCAGAGTCTATGAAATCATTTAAGAAAACAGCTGTGAGCTGTCATGTTCTGCGCAGGAACCCAGCTATTTATTCACACCCAGCCCAAGATTCCCAGGGGTCTACACTGGCCCACCTCACTCAGGTCAGTTTGTTTGCTTGTTTGTTTGTTTGTAGACAGGGTTTCTCTGTGTAGCCCTGGCTGTCCTGGAACTCACTCTGTAGACCAGGCTAGCCTCGAACTCAGAAATCCACCTGCCTCTGCCTCCCAAGTGCTGGGATTAAAGGGGTGCGCCTCCACTGCCTGGCTCAGATCAGTTTGTAAAGTCTTACTGCAGAACATTCTCAGGCAGGAAGCCAGTGTGGGCTCTCAAGGGGTCAAGGAAAGAGTCAATGATTGGTTGTAAAGTGAGGCCTCTGGGGACTTCACGGTGCTTTAGGGCCATGGATCAGTCCTGAGAAGGGGAAATGTCTGTATCTGAGTGCAGGGGCTTCTCTGCCTAACATGGAAAAGATCACGGCCGGCATAGTCAGCATCTCGGCTAGCAAAGCCTAGGTGTGACCTGCCGTATCTCAAAGGTCTGTGGAGAACAGAAGCTGTGACCGCCCTCAGGAACACCCTCCACTGCAGGCCACAAGGTGAGCAGCCAGTTCCCACCTCTGGGAGAGTCCTCTCAGCTCCTGCACGGCCACCTCCTGAGGAAGGGGCAGCTGCTGCCAGTCAGTGGCATCTTTTGGCTAAATAGAGATCTGACCAAACCAGCTCTGTACAGCTGCCCCCCAAAAAGGCAGTGGCAGCCTGTCTGAAGGAGAGTGGGCAGGGGACCAACACATCCCCACAGGAACACCCACACAACAGGCTGTCATTTTCGGGTGTCTCAGTGGTGTTTGACAGTGGAGAAGAGAACAGAGCCCGAGGTGGGTGGAGTGTGGAAATCCCTTCTAAGAATAATGTCACTTGTGACCATATTGTCAGTTGCTTAGACACTGGGACTCGGCTTGTCCTTCCAGGACTGGACCACAACGCATTCTCAAACATCAGGGTAAGCCAGGCGGTGGTGGTGCACGCCTTTAATCCCACCACTTGGGAGGCAGAGGCAGGCGGATTTCTGAGTTTGAAGTCAGCCTGGTCTACAGAGTGAGTTCCAGGACAGCCAGGGCTACACAGAGAAACCCTGTCTCGAAAAAAAACAAAACAAAACAAAACAAAAAATCAGGGTATTTGTGATCTTTTTGTAATGTGGCCAACCATCTAGACATAAGCAATGCTGCGGTTGTCTTCACAGACCAGGAAGTTAGGACATAGGAGAGGCATGTGGAGACAGCCAGGGAGCTCCCCTCAGCCTCAGGGACAGAGGCTCTGGGGACCTCCTATGGAGATGGACATGAGCGTGCTGGGCTGAGAAAACACATCAGGGCTGAGGCTGGGGGATGTAGAATAAAGGACTCTGAAGAATCGTCAGACTAAGGCTGGGGAGACGGCTCAGTCAGTAAAGTGCTTGCCGTGCAAGCATGAAGAAACCCTAGTTCAATCAACAGAAACCACATAAGAAAGCTGGATGTGGTGATATGTGCTTGTAATCCCTGTACTGGGTGCTTGTAATCCCTGTATTGGCGAGGCAGACAGGTGGACCTCTGAGGCTTGCTGGCCAGCCGGCCTAGTCTGCTTGGGGAATCTCTACGCCAGGGAGAGACCCTGC